ATAACAAACCAGTTTATCATGACAGCATTATAAATTGGGGACTTAATTTGGAGGTCGACTATTAAATATAGGCATACAATTTTATCATATATCCGTTTCGGCTTATTTTATGATCTATCTATGTAGTATGTTGTATTCTGCTAACTATTATTCGTATTTGAGTAGAGTTTCGAGACTACCAGTAGATCAGTAATATCAGATGTATTCACCCTATTTCGTTTAAGGTGATGAAGGACTGAGAGTAGAATTTTCTTGCAATGATATGAATAGAGCTGACGTTTCCATTGAATTTCACATAGCCTTGGTTTCCCAAAAGTTGTTCTCATCCAGGGTGGACTGCAATTTCGACCTCACATCGGTCTTATCAAGACTCCCAGCAGGAGTCGAACCGTGACAGTGCAGAATGGGAGCTTGACACGTTAACCACTCGGCCATATTGCTACGAATGCCCTTGTGTCACGTGGCAAATGTGAATTTCAAGGAAGACTTTAAACGAAATAGGGTGAATACATCTCATATTAATAACTATTAGTTGATTACCTTAATTGTGGTTCCCAAATCAACGACTTTGATCGTATAATTTAGATTAAATTTATTTCATATTGAATTTAGTTATCCGACTCATTCTCTCCCTTCGTTTGCTTCTATTTATTTTGCCCCCTTTATCTACTATTTCTACTGATAGGCAGTTTTTTTCAAGTCATGTCCTGCCGCGCCTACTTTCCGCGAAGCAGCTTTCTCTGCTTGGTCAGCACACTCTGCTCACATCTTGGCGCTTGACAAGAACTCATCTCCGACTACTCTTGACGCTAGCAAAGGAGAAATGGAACCGTGCTCTAATTGAACCGGGAACTGCAGTTGGGGCGCTTTGTGGCCAGTCCATAGGCGAGCCCGCCACCCAAATGACCTTGAAGACATTCCATTTTGCCGGGGTAGCCAGCATGAATATTACTCAGGTACTGAATTATTGCTTATTAAGCCTTAACAAATTTTATATAGACAAATAGAAAGGGAGGGTATGAAGACCAAGATGGTGCGACCTTTTGTATGAGCACAGTTTAGATGAAACTTTTGGTTTAAAATTAGTATCGCGTTAAAATGCATTATGAAGATATTAGTAGGTCAATATCACCATAGAGCGGCACTATCCCCGTTGTTCTGCAGCCGTTTGGCTTTAATACGACGTTCAGGTTAACGCAGTTTACGAGACATCCTCTCGTTTCGAATGCAAACGGAGTGAGCTTTCGTTCGTCGTATGGCGAAAATTATTAGAACTGGATTTTATTCTTCCAGGTCTCAATTTAACATTTAGAATACTAATCGGCTCTATCCTAGGTAGTATATGTACTCAATAAAAAATTTTTTTAGTGATTGATATATATAGAATGGTCTGGTTAGTTATCTCATACTCGAATCTGTCTCTATCAGAAAACGAACCAGACCATTCTATATCTATCTGCCTAAATATTTTTTTAAATTATGAATATATATACCATGTAGAATAGAGCCGCCCAAGCTCGTCATTGAAATTCAAGCCATTAATATGAGCTTATTCTAAGTTTTCAATTGACAATATTTCATGAAATCTGAGGTGCTAGATACTGCCTAGCCTGTCGAAACAACAATCTAGATCGCATAAGTAATATAATCCACTTCCTAAGATATATACGTTTTTATGTTTCATTTGTTCTGCTGGATCTGAAGCTGGAAAGCCACTTCAAGCAATTAGTACATTTTGATTTTTAAATGCTAATTTTAACTCTTTGTCGGACACTTTTCCCCATGCTTTTCTTTTTCTTTAGGGTGTACCTCGGATGCGTGAAATCGTGAATGCTGTTTCGAACATCCGTACGCCTCTCATCACAGTAGCTCTGCTAGACCCCACTTCATCCGAATTAGCCAAGCAGGTGAAACTGAGCATCGAGCCAACTCGTTTGGCTGATGTATCTTTGCGATTACGCCAATGCCTGCTTCCCGAAGACATCTATGTCTCCATCCACTTGGATTTAACTCGAATGGCACGGCGCAATTTGACCCCTGCTAAGATTGCCACTGCGATCCGATTAGCCAAACTTAAGAAGAAAATCAAACTTACAGTAAGGGGCAAGTTGGAACACTAATAGTTTTAAAGAGAAAAGCAAAAATGCTCAAATTAGTACTTGCAGAGAGGAGGCAAGTATGCATATATTTAATAGCAAGATGAATAGTTATTATGAAAACTTGTATGAAATGATTAGAACTTTAGAAAAAATAACGTCAGAAATTAGAGTACTATTCACTAATGAAAATAAGTTTGATTGAATTCTAACATTTAGGTGCCTAGCCATTAAAATTCGTTGTTCTAATTCCTTTATTAAAATTAATGTTTGGCATATTATAAACATTTACTTAACTATCTGATCGTGATTGAAATTTAACGCTTTACTCTAAATTTATCCACAGATACCTATATTATTTAATGAATTATATTAATGCATAAATCTGTTATACTTTTTAAA